TAGGGAAGGGAAGGGAAGGGAAGGGAAGGGAAGGGAAGGGAAGGGAAGGGAAGGGAAGGGAAGGGAAGGGAAGGGAAGGGAAGGGAAGGGTGGATATTTAACATAATTTATTTATATTACATTCATGTGAAATGTTCAAAGACCCTCTTTGAGCTAGATGCTGCACAGAGTCACACAATCGTGACACTACACAGGCATGCAGAGGGCAGGTATGGGCTCCAGGAAGAAACATTATTCTCCAGTTTCATAGACAAGATTGCCTAGATTCAGGGGATGAAATAACTCAGCCCATATCACATCAAAGACTGTAATAGGACTCAAGTACCTGTCCAATCTCTCTGCAACAGCAAAGGGGGTACACAAATGGAGCTCTTTCACATGCAAGCATAACTGAAAGGACTCAGACTATATATCTCTCTCTGAGCGCTAGTTATCCCTCACAGAAAGTGCTGTTCTTCTGAGATCTTTTTTGGGATGATAACCAGGCAGAAAGGAAAAACCTCAGCAACGTTTTTCACTTGTAATTCCACTGCCCTGATATATCTGGGGATACAGTTCACAATACATTCAATAATTATAGTACTATCTAGTTGTTTAAAAAAAGAAAAACAAAAAGCACCTTCTTTTTTCCAATTTCTCTTCAGTTTCTGAAGTCACAATGTTGCATTTAATCTAATCTTCATGGTAGCTGAAGACTATTGTACTATGACTATGGTAGATTTCTATTTACTCTGTAGAGAAGTAGCTCAACTACTACTCACTCCCAAGGCAGGATCTCACCTTAAGTGAGAAATTTCCATTTCTTATTTCCAGATCCAAGTCAACAGAGATGAAGGAATAAAAATATCACCTATTAACCTCTGGCCTGCTCCAACCTGCTCACAACAGGTTGGACTCGCATTCACAAAAGGAATGAATGGCCTTCCCTGTTTGCCAGTGTTGTCACAAGGCAGACACTGAGCAGAAACAAATGAGTATCTCTTTCATACCCTATGGCCAAACAGCAAACACCTAGGCTAACAGTGACATTTGGTAACACACGATGAAGGTTCCTTAGGCTCATCAGTGTGACAATCAGGATGCGAGTGGTAGCTGAAATGATGCTCCATTTCACTGGGTAGGCCTTCTTCAGCCATACCTTAATCATTATTGTATCTTCTACTTAGGCTTCTCAAACTATAGCAGCAACATTTTAGCCATGCCAGGTTTTGACACTACAGCCTTGGAAAGGGAGCAGTCACTGACAGCATGCTCTCCCTTGGTAGCAATTTCGCTAGTCTGTGAGAGGAGATTCACCTACAGCAGGTAAACACTGAGAAACATGACAGCAAAAGCCTTTGAAAAGCTGTTGTCTCTGCTTAGATAGCTGCTAGGATCAAGCTTTTATCCTCCTTGTTTTCTCAGTAACTTCAGCATTACTTACGCATCTAGTTCACAGCTAATAAAACTTAAACCTTACCCTCAGCAAAGAGCACAAGGTCTCTTTAACTATGGATGGAGCAAGGATACATCAAGGATAAATCTGAAGTAGATTTGAAAAGCAAAACCACCCACGCTGACTTAACTTGCAGTTAAACCAGAAGAAAAGCTAAGCTGCTTACTTCTTGTGTTTCCGAATCCCTGAAACAATGAGGAAAACAATTCCAGCCACAATGAGAGAAAGAACAACACCAAATACAATAAGCCAGACAGGTGTGGAGGGCTCAACAGGAGGTGATAAGGTTGTAGATATCTTCAGGAACTGCAATGTTCTGTCACTCAGTAGGAAGGCGCTGTTGATTCTGTCCCGGTTCATCCTTCATAGAAACACACACACACACAAAAAAAAACCATCACAGCTCTTCAAAAAGATATTTTATAAATAAAAAAAGATAGGAAAAAAAATAATTTCATGTATGTGCTGCAAGTCTGGCAGGGTTGAATTCAATCTGACATGATGTTGGTAGATTGCACAGACCTTCACCTTTAGCATAGATCTTGTCAGTAATCCATAGACGAGTGTCTAATAGATGAGGTGCTGGAGAACACATGCTTACAGGGTGCTGAACATCAGACTGGCATGTGTATTTATCTGAAAAACTGGAAAACACTGATGAGATGGTTTCTGGTTTGGACTACATGCTGAAGACAATGACCTGTAATGGTGGCTGTGACATCTTGTTCATACAGCATTCCACAATTGCATGGCACTCCATGTCCATGATCCACCATGCAATGCTCAGAGGATTTTATCACTGCCACTTAATTTCTCAAACAGAACCATACTAACTGTTATGAGCACATATATCTGCTCTTTCTGCTGGAGATTTTCTTAGATCCGTGAGGCACTAATTATGCTTTAGTCCAGAAGAATCCATCCCCATTGCCAAAATGTCCTTCTTTATAGGATGTATCTAAATGGATTTCGCACATTTTTTTCCATTATGAGAAACTGTAAATTCGAGAAATACACTTTTTCAAATGAGTAGCACAACTTCTACCCTTGAATGGGTATCTTCAGTATATTCACTCACATTTGCTACTTTGGAGCATTCGCAGCAACTTCTAGGTCTGAATCTAAGCACCCTGGAAAGGCTTTAGCAATATATTTCATTAGCTTTTGCAAAATACTTCAAAGTTTTGATAAAATAAATTACATATATTGGTCTTAATAGATTTTGGTTGCAGTTATAAAATTCACCCTCTTTCTTGTATACAATTCAATTGATTTACTACAGAGCAAGTATTTCCTAAGAAATATTCCCTGTAAGATATAGGGGAAACAAAAGTAAAATCCTTGCAAATTCCTTTCTTGGAAATCATAATGTTGACTATCTTTTAAGCAGGAAGTTCTTACCCTTAGTGGAAAGCTAGCAATCCTGGAGAGGGCTGAAAGCTCTGGCATATTATAAGACTCATTATAAGGTAAGCTACCTGTGATTAAAAGAGATTTTTATCCTTATAAATATAAATGATTCATTGTGAGCAGCTGAAGTAAGCATTATTAACCCTCATCTAATGGCTGTAGTTACAGAATTATGCGCTGAAACACATTCAGGTAACTACAGGTGCAGATGTGTTTGTATATTCATAAATGTCTCGTGTATATTTATGCAAGATCTTGGGACTCGTACAGAGCTCTGAAAAGGTTGTTTTCTTTGTTCTTTGTTTCTGAAAGAAACTCATAAAACAAAATCCTGGTCTGTGAGTAGCATTCTTACATGATACCCATATAGTATAAAGAATTAGAATAATGGTTTGGTATGGAAGCCTGCAATCAGGAGCACTAGAATAAAAACGTAGCTTTACAGACTATTTTATTTCTTCTTTCTAAGTTAGACAGGATTTTTTTTTTTTTTTAATAGCATATTCTTCTTTATGGGATGAAAGACAACAGTTAAAAAAACAAACATGCTATAATAGCATCCAATTTCTCCAGCAAACAGGGCACATAAAAGACTTAAATAAATCAGCTTCTGAATGATTCAAAGAATAACACAAATGCAAAAAAAAAAAACCTGCATTCCAACACTGTTAGAGAGCTTCAGTGAATAAATAATCTGCTTCCTCCACTAATGCTATGAAGCTATTGTTTGGTGTCTCTGTAGGAAACAGTTTTTAATCTACTCATAAGCTTAAAAATTAATCTTTCCAATAGAACGCATAGTCATTCATCAGGAATTAGGCATTACACCTCTATGGAGGTAACATGAATTTTCGAGACAAAGTACAGAATGTCTTAAAACAAAGAGGTCTGTTTTCTACTTGGTGCTCAAGAAAGATACGTGAGTTATGCTGCTTGTGGGAGTCATCCCCATAAACCTCTTTTGTAGCTCTGACAGACCACAGGAGTCAGATTACTTCTTTTTCCCTGTCTGCACTCTTGCTTTTATTGGCTAGAGCATGCAATATTGAGTAGAAAGTGAACTGATTTGTATCACATGGTATTTTGCACAAGTAATGCTCAGCTACTATAGCGACTGGCATTCCAAAAAGTGCTGTAAAAAGTATGACAGCAATGTGAGTGTAAGACTATTTAAACCAAGCTGGGACACAGCCAGTTCTTTTCATGAATAGTTCACGTGTCCTTCTCATGGAAACATTTATTTCTATGTTAAATCTGAAAACTTGCATTTGACAAGCACTAAAGTGAGCCTGTGGTCACTAACCTTGGTATAGAAGTGCACATGGCATGCGGTGAACATGAAATAACATCGATCTAATCCCTAGAAGCTGGAATTCTGTCATCTAGGGAAGAAGGCTCTCTCACTGGGAAGTGCAGCAACTGGATGATAGCAGTGTTTCTGCTATGCACATGACAAAAAACTTACAGCCCCAGCTCCAGGAAATGGCTAGTTTTCACCTAAAGCTCCAGTGTTAAGAGAGACTCCTTCTATAGTTAGAATGCCAAAGCTCACATACATTGCATTCCATGGAACTGTTACAAATCATGCTAGCCATGCATGCCTGAAAGAGCATGGTGTTTTAACTACTTAGATTAGATTGTCCCTACAGAGGCAGAGAGCTCATTTATGGCAAAAGAAAAATCATCCTCAGTCAGCAAGGAAGGAGAAACTGCAGGATTAGCAACTGTACCTGATGGCTGCCTCTACCTCACTTCCCGGAACAGTTGTCGTGTTTTTGGAGGAATCTGTGACCACAAACCAAAATGACACCCGATCCGTCACATTGCAAAGCAGCACGTTGGAAATTCTGCAGATGGTTGAAACAGAAATTATTGAAATATTCAGTAGCTTTCTAAAGAGGGAAAAAAGGTAACCATTCATGCTCAAGAAAGAAACATCATCCACAGCATTTCTCATTTCTCAGTATGACTGAAAAAATTTAAGCTTATTGAGACCAAATGTGGGTCTTCAAATGATTTCTGAATATACTACAAACTTGCCTGGTCTTGTACATACATGTAGTGTAATTGTAAAAAAAAAAAAAAAAAAAAAAAAGTATCTTAATCATCTGGGCTGTGAAAAGGCCATACTTGTCCACTGGGCAAATGCATTAGTAAAATAAGGTGTTTTTTTTTTTCCAACTAAGGAGCTAGACATTGTTGACATCCCATACAATTTTCAAGTGGATGCAGTCCTCCTATAGGGAACACTTTCATAGAGGAGAGGAAACCAGCCGGGAGGGAAGAACAAAGAAACTGACATTATTCTCTTTGACATCCTTCTGCACTGTCAGGCACAGAGTGGAGTCAACAGGCTAAATATAAACATCATACTGGCACTGGCCTGTGCCCTCTGGTTTGTGCTACGACATATTTATCTCAAATGTTTCAAAAGAAGATTACTTGGTTTTATGTGAAGTTGACAGCAAAAGGCCACCGGCATGAAGCTTCTCTTGGCATACTATATAAAAAGAGAGCAGAATATCTTTAAGGTGTGTTTCTTTGTAATCTTATAAACTTGTAATCTACCACTAATAGTAGGGAAAAATGGAAATATAATTAGAAATATCTCACAGAATGACATCATCATAAATATTTAGACCAAATAATTGAATACTAGTGCAGGTGTAATGTAAGTAAATAGTGACTAAGGATAGATGGTGCCCTTATGTTCTTCTCTCTATTCAAATCTTACTCACACAACAAACAAACCAGCCAAAGACATGTGATATACAGCAGCTGCTATAAAGACACTGTTTACTACAGCATGGCAAGGAATATAATTTGCATCATAGAAAGATATCCAAAGTGTTATCAATTGAAAGACAGAGAGCTAGAACAATAAGAATGAAAAAAAAAAAAAGAAATAATTCCATATCATTAAAAAATAAGCCAAAGACTTTGGCTCAGAATCCAGATTTACTGGCTATATCCAAGCACTGAGCAGATATTTTAATAGCCCATGACTCAGGATGAAGACCATTTTTGTTTCCACAGGGCAGCCCAAACTTTGTTCACCTTTGCCCACCATCTTCCTGGCCACAAGCACAATAAAGTTGCCCTGTCTTGTATCTTCCAATTAACTACAGGGATGTTTGTAATGCCCATTACCATCTGCGGTTTCGAGGTTTGATTTGTCCATCACCAAAATGCAAGTTTTAACATTTCTGCTCCAGTTTCTGAACCTTCCCAGGGTGACAAATTCCCTACTGCTAGCAGTGACCTGCCGCAGAGCTCTGTTGTGTAGTGCCATCTGCTGGCTAATTACAAACTTAATTAAATGACTGCTAATAGGACTTCAGTGATAGCCTGAAGAGCAGAAAGCACAAAGTAGGAAAGAATGTGAGACAGAAAATGATACCCATAAATGCATACTCTTCACTCAGAACAACAATAGCTGTTGGCAGGACAGGAATTGGCTTGTTCACAGTAGTTCACTCTTGATATTTTGTTGAAATACTATACCTATTGCTTCAAGCTTTTTTGGGTGGTGGTTCAGGTACCAGTGTGTTTGGGAAGGGAAAACTTTCATTTACAGGAAAGGTATACATTCCACAGAGACATGCAATAAAATGGAAAGAAATGATTTTGCAGAGCTGAAATACCCACTTTTACCTCTCTGGAACATCAATTTTGCAAATACAGATAATTTTCCTGGATAAAAGAGGAAAGCCATCTCTGGGATTTTAAAAGATGTTCACATCAGTTTTTTGGCAACAGCCAGAAGATAAAAGTAGATTTATTCCTCTCAAAATAAAAGCAAAGCACAAAATTTACAGGAGAGGAAAAAAAAAAAGAATCTACTTTTAGCTGGTGGCTGACAAACTCTTGCTGACTTCACAGAATATCTAAAATTGTATCTGTGGAGGAAGTTTTCCATCAGGAGAATTTGTAACAGTAGGACCTAAATCTTCACACTGCTGCAGCTCTTAAAGCTGGAATTCCTGTGGTGCACTCAAAAACTGATCCAAGTAGAAAATAGCTGTGCGTATTCCTCTCTAAGTGTTCTCAAAAAGTGAGGAGTGAACAGAGCTCATTCTCTCAATAGAAGGATGCATTTCATGCATAAGGAGTGGCAGAACATGCTGTAATTCTCTACAGCCTCAGAGACTCAAAGGGACTCTTAAGAATGAGGTCATCCCTACAGCACCCAGGCTTTCAGCATGACATAGAGCAGGCAGTGATCACTGGGACAGTGTGTCTGTCTCTAGAAGGAGCAGAATTGGGCAGCAAGGCTCACACTAAGATATGGAAACTTCGCCTCCTTTCTGCTCCCTGTTGTGCCTAAAATCTTGCCTGATCAGCGTCTAAAACCCAGCTTCACTGCCACTTTTCATCAGCAGAATCTGAATGCTGTAAATCCTTCCAGGCTCCAAAAAGAATAACACCATTCACAAGAAGTTCAAAGAGGATTGCATAAACACCAAAATGGACTAGTTCAACAAGCACCAATGGGACCACTCCTTTTCAGCAGGTATGCTTTTTTTTCCCATGTTGTTTGAACATAGATTTGACTCAAAGCTTGTTGAAGCCTTAGAAAACTGTGCCTTTTCAGTGTTTAGGTTTGAAAAACTTGACTTTATCATGCACTTTGCAAATTAAGTGTATTTGTAAGCATTCATATGGACATCTGTTTACTTCCTTAGCTGACTTTCGCCACAGTTGCTTTAGGATATTTGTAGTATCAAAATAACAGGATCCTGGTCCTAGTATTCCCAGCCCAAAATCAATCTCCTTTCCTATATGCAAGTGAGCACCAGTGAGGAGAGGGCAGGAAACCCTGAAGAATCCTCGGCTTGAAACAGCATAATTGATCCTTACGGACATTTAGAAGATTACTTAGGGATAAGTAGAGCTGCCAAAGACTCAAAGAGCACTGGGTACATATGGCAGCCATTAGCTGACGGAAAAGCGCTGGCACTGAGGCCCTGGTGTATACCTCTGGCCCTCCAGAAAATGCCAAGCCTCTTCCCACCTAGTGCTGCACATCTGTTCTCTCAAATGTGCCTTTGTTTTCTTCCTTGTTAGGACCAGAAGCCATGAAGTCACGTTGACACACCAGCTCTATCTCTAGAAGTTTATTTTGTTGTTCTGAGTAGTCAGAATATTTTTAAAGTACCAAAAATACCTATCTTAAGAGGACAGATAATTCTGATGAACTTCTGGTCACTCCATGATGAAAACTGCAGCTTTCTTACATACAAACTGGGAGCAGATACACAAAAGCAAATCCTTTCATTTAAATGCGAGTGATCACATTCTTTCTACTTTAAAGATTAACGAGTCTCAGACCCAAAAGAGATGCATATTATTTCAAATGAGTCACAGATTAGAGAAAGAAGAGTTAACAACAGGCTGTAGACGATCATCTTTTAACAATGACAGATCAAAGGTTGGCTCAGGTAGTTCTTGAATGTATGTGGTGAGAGTGAATCAAAAGGTCATACAGAGAGCAAGAAATAAAGGATTTGTATTTCTCAACTGCAAAATAAACTTTTATTTTATCTGCATTAATAATTACTGAGTAACTCAATGAATTGTGTCTTTTTCCTGTTTCACACAACCTTGACAATTCATCAAATCTTTCAAACATTAAACACAGTCCCATGATTTATTAAAGTTTAGTTTAGAAATTAACTTCAGAGAAACTGAGATACAGTGTGTATGATACTTTTACATCTCATGAAGAAAATCTGCTGGTATTTACCTACACAAGTGTCTGTAGCATAAACACACTTCACTAGATTGAAAACTCTACCTAACCAACAATGTAACAGAAAAACTTCTTAGTGACCAAAGATATAAGATTTCACTTGGTCTAAAGCAAAGCAAGACTCTTTGGGATCAAGGTTGAGTAGAGTCTGGGATTTACCTGCCTCGTAACTATGAGGGGTACTTGCATCTTCTCTAAGTTCCCACTCCTGCTTCTCTCTTCACCATTCTGCCAGCTCCTGCCACTGTTCATACCAGTTATGTGAGAGTGCTTCTCCAGTACGCTCTGCACGCTGCTATTCCCTCCTGGATGATGAGTGCCCCCCCCCACTGCCATTCCCACTGCAAAGGGGTTGGAGATGGACAACGCTCCTTTCTCTGTACCAGATGCCTCTTGCCAGCCACAGTGCTAGGAAAGAGGAATGTTATTTCCAATAATGGAAACAAGCATGTTATTTGGGGTATACTGGGAGGTCAACAAGCTCTCAGTCACAGAAGGGAAACTCTGAGGTCTCACAAGATCTGGGAGAGACCTATGGGTAGGAAAATCTTCAGACTGCTGCCTAGTAAGTTTTAGAAGACACCAGAGCTGCATAGCAATACATTGGCTGTCTACATATGACCCTAAAGGTATCTGAAAGTCCTAGAAAAGCTATCAGTTTTATCTGGAAAATTATACCCCATGAAGAAATCCTGTACTGTGTTAGAAGCGGCAGAAGATGCCCATACCTTTTTGCAAATATTGTACTGAGTTATCCTTTGAAAAACTTAGTAGCAGGAAAGTGTTGACGCATGCAAGCCTACCTCCAAATCAGAGTAAGACTGCCATTATCGTAGTTGTCCATAGGAAAATTTGTCTTGGGAGGAGTTAAAGGAGAACAAATGTTGTGACTTCCCAGAACACATAAATAAAACATCCATTAAAACTTTAATTCCTGTCATACTGGTTTGACTTTTCCCATTCCTACACCAAACATTCTAAAATTAGTTGAGTCTGCAGACAGCTGCAGTACTTGAAGAGGGTAAAGTTCAGTGGCATGTGACATAGGATTTTGCCAGGTAAAAGCATCATGGCTTTGAAGGAGGAACAGAACAATAATTTTAGAAGAAGGACCAGGGACTAAAATGGATATACAGAAGCAAGCTTTTACAGATCAGAGACAGAAGAAAAACTCTCCTGAAAACCTGGAAAAAAACCCACAAAAAACAACCCTGCATAATAACCTTTAATTAGCTGGTATCTTGATCTCATTTTTGCAGGTGTGCAGTGGAAATATACTTGACTATTTGTGTTAATCTTGGTGTAATGGTTCCTTGCTCAAATGAGACACCTTCCAAGGAATACAAATAAAACAGCAAGGAACCAAACACTTCTGTGACATGGAGCAGGGAGAGCACCTTCTATTTAAGAGAGAATGCAGCAACCACAATAATCATCATATGAATAAAGATAACTAATGTCTTGGCAAATATGCAATATGCTTTATCTGATGCATTGATGGCCTGAAGCAGTTTTTTCAGAGAGTAAATTGAAAACCTTATCCTCATTAACGTACCAAAGCCATAAATCTTTCCTTTTAGATTGAAAAACAATGAAAAAACAATAAGCCTCTAGGAATACACTCATGAGGTTTCTTGTTTAAGAAAGGGAAGAACATACTGAAGAAACAGCGTGCTAAATGGTCTGCTGATCTGGCATCTAATTTTGTAAGTTGCAATGATCAGAAGCCTGAGAAGAATATTCAACGCCTTAGGGTAGGTTTAATCCCAAACCAATTAATGGCTGATCTATGTCTGAACTGCAACATATGAAACATTCTGATGATAGGTAACTCAGCCACTGTAATATTAGAGATGGATATACCTTAGCAGAACTCAGCACCAGCGCAGCTATCCACCTTTCAGCCCTCTGAGTCAGCTTATCCTCAGCACACTGCCTAAGCTGAACACCAAGTAAATGCGCACCAAAGCTGCTTATTCAAGGATCTGTACCACATTGCTCAGCCTTGCTGATGGACCCCTGCTCCTCCTCTCAGCGTGGTTACCAGAAGGTAATTGTGTCTTACGGCCAGATTCTGATAGAGTAAATTAGCACAACCCCACTGAGAGCAGTAGAGGGGAGACTGGTCCAAAGACTGAATGCTGCTTAAGATAGAGAGTGCAAAATTTAACATACAACTGAGTGTCGAAGAAATACGCTGGCACATTTGGCTTTTAGAAGCTGTAAATAGCGATTTCTACACCTCAGTACAGCAGAGGTGTACTGCCACATGCATCATTAATAGCTGTAACGCAAGTCAGAGTAGATGCTTACTGAGTTGTGTTCTTGCTGGAGTATCTTCTCATTGCAAAAGCCATCATTGCCTTGAAGAGGTACTCTTCATTTGCATCCCAGGCATACTGTAAAAGAAGATGGCAAATCATCAGTTTCAGCTCCAGTGCTGGCAGGACAGAGGGGGAAAAGAACTTGAAATATCATATTGATCAAGAAAATTAATAAATTCACTGACTGTGCTATGAAAATAAATTCCTGCCTAGTACTTAGCGTGCAGAAGCAACTTTTTCTAATGTTTGTTGTAAAGTGCAATACAAAGTGAAAAGAACTTTTCCAAAAAAATGAATGAATTGAATGTTTCTGTATGCTGGCCAAACAGGAAATGTAAAGCTTCTTACATCAAAGACCAGGCTTTTTACCAGAATTCTCCCAACATAACTGCACCCATGGCTTTGCTTCTTTTGTGGATGAGCAGCATTGAAGAAGGTTTAAATCTACTCTCAAAGACCATTTAGTTCTGCCAGTAAACAAAAAAGATAACGTTGAAGGCAGGCTCTGGGAAATGGATGTCAGGACACAAGGAAAAAAAAAAAAAAACAACCAACAAACAGATTATGGCCTTATTGCTGCATGCTGTTCTTAATTATAAGCATGAAGATAGAGTCAACTAATTACGACATCAAATTTGAGACAAAAGAAAGAAAAAAGCATCCTTTGTCTTTCAGTAACAAATAAAATACAGGCTCCCAAAACTCTTCTGTGTTGTCTTGCTGAAAAATCATGCTGCCCTCATTTCATGTTTCTGAGAAAGCTTCACTATGTTCCCCTGTGCTTTCATTCCCATATGCAATTCTAATGACCAGCAAAAACTACACGCATTACATTTTTATAACAATAGCCATGACCATGACTCACTGATTGAATTTCTCCTTTTCAGCAAATTACAAAGATTAATAGTTCGTTGGAATGATATTAGTGGAGGTTCGATGCAGTTTTCTTCAGTCAATCAGAACACAAATCTAATATTTAACTTTCAGCATTAAAAAAAATCTGCACTGTAATCATCCAAACCAGAAATCCAATAGTGTGGATACTTAACCCTGATAACAACCTGGGACTACTTTTTCATGCTTTATAACACACTCAAAAAACAGGAGTAGAGTAAGCAAACACAACTGAAAATGCCAAATCTTAATTCTGCTTTTTAATTTCTGATTTTGGATGTATGGAACTGCTGCAGTTTCTCTACAGAAACAAGGAGGGATCCAACTTCCAGACACCATCACACATTTTGCTTTGACGTTCTGCAGACTGGGAACCTGAATAGGGAAGGAGGCAGCCATTTAAAGGGCAAAAAGCCGATCATATTTATCATTCCTAAACAGATGAAAACAGGTGAAATAGGTAGAGATATGACCAGACAGGTACCACAGAGCTGAGCAATAGACTACTTAACCAGCATTAAAATCCATAGGCAGTTCTGGGAATTGTGGGTCTGACTCACCACTCCTGCCTTGTGAAGGAAGAGAGGTAATTACAGTGTGATGTGTGCCAGTCTGGGAGCTTAAACTGAAAGCAAAAGAGGGACAGTTTGAATAAAAACATTTTAAAACTTGTATTTTGATCCCATGTCACTAATGAAAACATGACAGTAATGTCAGCAATAGTGTTAAAAGACAAAGAGACAACGTAGTAGAGGAAGAAATATAGGTATAAGTCATAAAACTATTCACCATAATTTTAAATGCATCTGTATTTAAATGGATGGATGATGGACAACGATGAAGCACGCTCTCCTGCATGCTTACATGGACACAAATGCAATACAACACTCTCAAGTATATGTACTTGGTATGTTTATGTTTAGTGCACTACATGTATATCCGAGAAACACATCACACATCACATGTGCTCCCTGTGGTTGTCTTTGGCCCTTCTGAATTAACTGTCTGCTGTTAATGCAACTGGTGACTAGCAGCCACTGTAGAAGCTGCTAGTAAATGTAATGCCATCCTCAGGGAGACACAGTCCCATAAATCATCATCCCTTTGTTTAAGTTTACTCCCAGTGCATAGCAAGCAATGTCTCTTCCACGTACATCTGATACTACCAAGTAGCACGAAAAAAGCTAGATGCTTACTGTATTTTAGCTGTTATTTCCAACATTAGTACACAAAAAATGGCACTCCCTGCCTAAAAGTACAGCCCACCTTGTGGACAAATGAAAAAATGGTGTCTGTCTGTGTTAGCATCACACAAAGAGCATGCTATGCATTAAGTCACTTGGAAAACTATACTAACCTATTTTCTATGCTCCTGAACCAGAATTATCCTGCTAGTCCTACAGTGAAATGATCATGGTATCAGGGCCTTCTGCTGTTATCTGGATTGAAGTGACTTGTAAATGAATGAAACAGAATTAAACAGCAAAGCATCACACCAAGATATTCCAAGCTGATTCTCTCCTATTGTGATATATGAGAGATTTACCTACCCTATTATTTGCTAAAAATAAAAATAAGATCGAAGTTTACCAAATTCTTAAACCGAAATGAATTTCAGTTTCAGTTTTCAGTTTCAGTCATTTGCAAAGAAGAATGTGATGGCTCTGAAAAGGAACTATCAGCTGTTAATAGAAGTTAATAAATTCTTCATTATCTGCGGATAACTTTGTATGGCACCATAACTCTTTCAGTGTTACAACTCTTTCAATGTTCTAAAACATTGTTTAAGTTTTAGATTGTCTCATTCTCAGGTCTTACATACATTTTGTTAAATGAAATAAACTACTATCTATCTACCAAAAAACAATAAAACGCTCCACAGTTATTGCTTTTTTTTTTCCTTGTAATATAAAGTACCTTTGAGATTAATGATTTGTATCATACCCTTCTTGTGATGAAAAATAGAAAAATTATAAATGATCAAACAAATCTCCCTTCTTTTATTATAGTTGGAGAACTAAAAAAAGCACTAAACAACAGCACTGTTGTGAACAACCATTTTTATTATTTCCTAAGGTTTTGAACCAAGATTTAAAAAAATATTAGTAGTTATTATAAGAAGCTTCATTAATGATTTTGACGTATTTTCAGCCACAGGATTACACTATTTTAATAAATTTTTAAACAATGCAGGCTCGCACAGTTTTTTAATTAAAATCTCTCACCCACGAGGATTGACTTCAATATTAATTTCCATAGACAAGTACTTTAGTATGTATCTTGATTATTTCTTTTAAATTTATCTGGTTTATAAAGTTCCCAGTGGAATTAGTACCCTGCTAATGTTGGTTTGAATTATCTAATATTTCAAGGTAGTTTTTGAATGGCCTCTGTGGTCAGAGGGTGATTCTCATATTTCCAGTCTCTTCTAACACCTACTCTATGGCATTTTATTTTCCAGGACTACTAACAATCAAACACTAGACTTCCAGTGCAGGTTATTGTCCAAGATATTTCATATCTAATTTTATGCAAAGCACTGTAACACACTGGAGATTTGTGGCAAGAATTCAATACTGCAAATGAAATACCGTGTTCTTCTGTATCTCATAGCACTTTAGAACTGGAAGGACCATTTGGCCACCTAATTTCCCAAACTTCTGTGTATTACAGCCCCCTACTATTCATCCCAGAAGTTCTACATTAAGTGAAAGGATTCTAATTAAGACAAAGCATTCAGTCCTCATGAGACTAACCTGTGCACCACAGGCAGAGAAGAAAGGGCAATATCTGAAACCTACATTAGCAGGAAATTGATCAGATATGCTTGAATGATCTCTACAGATCATGCTTGTCTGAGAGCCTGACATAAAATTCCATTTCATAAAGACCTAAAAATCTTTTCCAGCTTATCATCTCAGGCATGCTTGACTTTACAACTAGCTCTCTCAAGCAGGAGTGCTTTTCCCAAAATACAGACTTAGATTTACAGTGTCCCTCGTGCACAAAATGCAGCATCTCTACTGTTTTTCCAGCAGAGGAGAAAAAAAAGGACTTTGACAGAAAATTATCTTCAAGAAAAGACAAGCTTTACGCTTTAATAAAGAACGTCATTTTAAGGAGCACGCTGGTCAAATGTCACAACTTGAGAAGTTATTACAATTAATACTTCAGAACAAATTGCTTGTGCTGCCTTTAGAAAGTGTACATTGTGCATTAGTTCTATTTTGACAGATATTTAGTTAGGAACAATATGTGAAGATACTTTACTTACTGCATTATCTCCCAAAGCTGTTTTGATACTAAGCCGTACTTTGAAAGCATTCTGTGCATCTGACACAAAGAGAAAAAAGATAAATGTATTGATATTCAGACGAGATGGGATTTTAAATCATTTACTTCTCTAATTATTTTACTAACCACAGCTTTAAAATTGCCATAGCAGATTAACCGGTTAGGAGAACTAGAAGCTAATAGCATGAAACATGCAGCAGCCCTGCAGATTTTCAGTCAGGTTTACCCCTACCTCATTAGAACAGGTAAGAACAACATCTGCACTTCATTTGCACTCAGAAAAGTGAATGTTCAGAGTTTCTGTATTCAAACTGGAGGCAACCAGCTAGATTAAAAACATAAGAAGCTGACCGCTGTGCAGGAATACACTCAGAGCTAGATTTCCCTCAGGAGGGGTGGGAATCAGCAGCTCCAAAACTTACCTGGCTTGCAGAGCTCAGCAGAGGCGACAGAAACTACAGAAAAAGCAAGCAGCAAAACTCCAAACATCCTTTCAGTGTGGAAAAATTGAGGCTAAAAGAAGTAAGTCTCCGGTGCAAAGCACTCTTAAACTTTCTGTGACCCAGGATTAAAGCATCAGCAGCACAAGTAAGCAACCAAGCAAAAGGTTTAATAATTAACCTCCGTTATTTTAGATAAACAGGCACTAGAAACAAATGTCTTATTTTCATTACTTCATTACTTACTACCTTTCTCTGTAGTTTAAAAAAAAAACAACAAAACAACAACAACAACAACAAAACAACCTATAATAGGTTTTTCATTCTCCCTTTTTGGAATAATGCAAAGCATTACACAGTGATATGTTCCGGTTTTCCCCCCAGGCACACACACATAAACGTCTGAGCCACCCCACACCTGACCACCTTGCATCTCTGGTGGCTAGATAGCACACACTACCCACAGCACACATGGTTCAGTTGCTCCCACCCTGTAACCAACAAAATCAGCTTCTGAGGCATCACTTTGAGCTACATCAATTATAAATACAGAGAATTGCTTTCCTCCTGTTGGAGTATCATGACAGTAACAACTGGAATGTGAGAATACACAACAGAAGGGCTACGTAAGGAAGCGGGCATGCATCGTTCATAAAGACACATTCCAGTTTTGTTTACACAATATGCTGTGTATATGTACACTCACATTCGTATGGCAATATATTAATGATGTATATTACATTTTCAACGAAACGTTTTCAAAGACAAAGAAGTACGTGCAGAGGAGAAAGAATTCAGCAACTGAAATAATTGAAACTCGCAAATACTTGAACAGCCTTTGCCATCTGGGCAGCAAGTCAGGATTATTTTATTCCACTCTGCTGCTGCATGCCCTCCCTTGTAGCCATTCTGATTAAAGGCTAGTTCCTAAACTGAAGATTTCTTTAAAATTACTTTCAGTCGGCCTGTTAGCACAGAGAAGTGTGTCTCGAGACTGCAAACCCAAAGACCTTCACAAGAATGACTACCGGTGAGAACATTTTATGTAACTGTGGGACTGAATTTATGGAAAACAATAATCAGTATTTACTAGATAAGGTATTTGGACTTTCAGGTAATTGAGATTTTACTGTTTCACTTATTTAGTCTTATTTTTAGAAGTCACTGTTAAAGGAATTGATACCCCACTTTCAAAAGTCATTAAATCAAGCTGATTCCTGAATGGCTGTTTACTCACTCTAGACAACCAGCTCAGAGTACAAAACTATTGGATTTGTTATCTGCTTAGATGTGCAATCAATGTCTATGGAAACGAAAAAGTGACGTACTCATTTTTAAAGATGGCTCAAATTAACATGCAACAAATGGAGACCACTAAAAAAACATACAGATGCAGGAAAGACTACCAGTTTTCTGTAGAATTTGTAAGCTAAAAAGACTGTGAGCATTATCTGCCCCATGCTAAATTCATTGCTTCAATAAAGAGTGTTTGAACTCCACTGTACCTCTGGGGGACATACTGCGGAACATTGGAAAATGGGGGAAAAGCAAAGCACTGCTTTCCCACAAGCAAATGAAAATGACTGCAGTTGGGATGCGTCGTCACCTCTCTGGAAATCAGTCCTTATGAACACATGAAGCCAGTGTCAAAGTACACAGTGGGCACAAAGCGCTCAGCAGGAACAGCCTTGGAGCGTACAGCTGGATTCCCTGGCCATGGCTGCTGACTTCCATCCAGGATGGTGGATTTCACTGATTTATCACACTGGCACATAGCAAGACTGATGATTTTCCTGGTGGCGAGGGGAGGGACCAGGGGAAGGAGCGATGTGATAAACACCTCAGCTCAGAGCTCATACAGATGTGTTCTGCAATTGGTATGGATGTGAGTAGCAACCTCGATGTGTGCCAAAGGCACCCAACTGGCTGCCCACTTTATTAATACTGTCATAAAAAGCACTGAAACTTTTCAGATCGAGAGTATATTAGCACAATATAGAAGATGTACATTTTGCCACCTTGTTTTCACTAACAAACACACATGCATGCATAACTTTCGGCCAAACCTCTTTTCATCCATTTTGGCTGGAAATGTAGCACTATTTGACAATGCCTGAATTTGCCACTGGTTGATCAGTAAGACATCAATTTGCTTCAACAAATGACAATCTACATGCTTACAGAGTATGTTTTCAATTCAAAATGTTGACGTTCTCGATTTTTAATAGCTTCTCTTTTAAAATAACTTTGTTTTTCCCAACTACTATTGAGCCACAGGTGACAGCCATGGAGAATCATAGAATCATTAGAGTTGGAAAAGGCCACTAAGACCATCTAGTCCAACCACCATGCCCACTAACCACATCCAGCAGTGCCACATCCACACAGATCTTGAACACCTCCAGGGACAGTGACTCCACCAAATCCCTGGGCAGCCTCATCCAATACCTCACTACACTTTCTGAGAAGAAATCTTTTCCTAATATCCAACCTCACCTGGCACAACTTAAAACCTATAGAATCCTATGCATAATCATCAATTTAAAAATATCATTGAATTACTGCAAAGAACTATTTCTCTTCTTGTACTGAACAAATTTGTATGCTGAGTGAAAATAGCTGTATATTTTTTTTCAGTGCTTCTGACCTCCAGAAGTTCATCTATAATCTATATGTGTATACTTAACAACATACTGCAATTCGGATTCCTAAACAAATTAAGAAAGGACTGAGACTCAAAGACCATCTCATTTGGTAAAACAAAACCCTTCCATCCTCTCCGTCTTATTAGCAATGCAGTTTTCTTTCAATGTCTTCAAAATGGAAAAATCCCAGGAAAGTAAAATATTGATAGCCATCATATAAGTTAATTAACAGCTATGGCCAAACTTACCCTCAGTTTTCAAATTTGACAAATTAACAGTTTTGAACTCTGAGGAAGTTAATCTTTAGTCTTAAATAGTTGTGTTCAACTCTTATGAGGAAAGAGTCAATGTGCTACTGTCAGCATTAGTCACTCATGGAAATCTACCTAGAGAAATGTAGGTCCGGTTGTACAAGAACTTTGCAGTTCCTTGAGTGCAATGCTTCTGAAGATTCTGAAGAAGCTGGTGATATGCTCATCTACAAGAATGTCAGCATCATCGAAAAGATCAGTGTTGGCTTTTTAGGGGCAGCCTAAGTCTTAAAATGGGAGTTTTTTGTTAACTTTGGGGGGAATTTGGTATGGTATGGGGCCCATAATCACTGTTATCATTGTAGTATTGGAAAAGTAGTTTACAGTATTTTACAGTGTTTACACAGTTTTTATCAGTGCTCACAGAAGTAGACAGTGTCTAGAAAACTTTCATCCCTTGAGAATGAAATGTAGCCATTAGCTAGCAGGCATGGGAAGCATTTACTCTCTAGATTTTTCATATATTACCTTCAAGCAGGCACTTTGCAGTGAAAAGCACTGAGGATCACCCACAGTAGGGCTAGCACTGGGAATAAGCAACTTCCAGTGCAGTGGGGAAGGATGGAAAGGCTAACAGATCTGGGAATGTTCAGCCTGGAGAAGACTGAAGGGGGACCTTATCAATGCTTATAATTCTGAAGGGAATGTAGTATTCAATTTGAGGTGGTATGAGAAATGTTTCTCCGCTGCATGAAGTACAATCAGTGTACTTCATATCTACCCTCTCACAATGGAGCATATATACACACAAAAATGATCAGAGATGGAACACCTCCCCTATGAGCCCAGGTTGAGAGAGCTGGGGCTGTGCAGCCTGAAGAAGAGAAGGCTCTGGGGAGACCTGAGAGCAGCCTTTCAGTATCTAAGGGAGAACTAAGAAGGAAGGGGACAGACTCTTCAGAAGGATCTGTTGTGACTGAACAACGGGCAGTGGTTCCAAACTAAAAGAGGAGAGATTTAGATCGGGCGTAAAAAAGTTTTTTACAGTAAGGGTGGTGAGGCACTGGCACAGGTTGCCCAGAGAGGTGGTGGAAGCCCCGTCCCTGCAGACACTCAAGGTCAGGCTGGATGGGGCTCTGAGCACTCTGATGGAGCTGTAGGTGTTCCTGTTCACTGCAGGGGAGTTGGACTAGATGGCTTTTAATGTCTCTTCTAATTCAAAAGATTCTATTATCATATGGTGTAGGCACATTTTTCTTTGGGAAACATGGAAGAGTGAGTTCTGCGAACATTCTTTTTCACAAAAATAAACCATATGTGAAGAGGTGTCTGTTCTACAACCCCAGTATAAGGGCTAACAATTACTGGCCAGAAATCTGTATTATTTTGGACACATAAATGGATCTAGCCAACCTGGAATGGTAGTATTTGTATCTTTCTGACAAAAAAACTTTCACTGCACTGGGTCAATAAAGTTGCATGGAACTCCGCACCTGTTTTTGAATAGCAAGCAGTTGCTACATCTGTAAATTCAGGAGAATAAACAAAATGTACACAAAATGAAATTATTGGGATTACAGCTTTTTTCCAGAATCATTATGAAGGTCAGTTATGGATGATGCCTTTTGCCTTGCCTTATAAAGAGATTATCCTTCTCACTATTCAAACACAAAACCTTAAGACAACTATTTCCCCAAGTATACTGGGAAAATGCCATAATGAAATGTATGATACTACTGAAAGAAACGACTGAACTTCTCAATATTGAGTTAGAGACGGTTTAAAGAAAAGTTATCGTACTTGCTCTACTAAAAGGATGAAGAAGAGTTGTAGTTGTAAGTCCTAAATAAAATGTCATTTTTAAAAATAATTGTTTTCTCAAAACATTCATGGATGTGTATGGTTCATCAGTTCTAAAATGCACAATACTGCCATCTTCTGTATCTAAAGCTGAAAATTATGTGTTGTTTTACATGTAGATTCTGCACAAGTAAACAGTAAAAGTAATAGCACTGTCAACTCCATTTTAAAAGGCAATCTACAACCAATATGGTGAAGCACCCACTAGAACGGTCATCATCTGAATATTCCTTGAGCAATGAGTAAAAAGAGCTGCTGACTATAGCAGTCACAATATCTTTGAGCTTCAGAATAAATAGTAAGATACTCATTATGCCATTAATGAAGAGCACAATTAGTCTGCACTGGCAGGCTTCACCATCAGCAGCTTGGATTGTCCATGCAATATACTAGCACTAGAATATACAAAGAAAGTTCCTGTACTGTGGTTTATGACAATAATTTAGGTATTAATCAACAATATACATTATTAATGGTCATGCAAAACATGAACAAATAAAATCTATAAATTTGTTGTGTCTGAATGCTGCAATGTTATGTTTGTTGCCAAAAAACTGATTACAGATAACCTTAACGTTTTGGCACATCATGTCTGTGACTCTGTGCATTATAATTGATATTTGGGTCCAGGAGCAGAGAGGATGCTGCAAAGCAGCTCACAAGTTACAAGGGCCAGACTAGAGTGGAAGGGATTACACGTGATGGGCAGGGGAGGGTCAAGCTGGACATCAGGATAAGGTTCTTCACCAGAGTATGGTTGGGCCCTGAAACAGGCTCCCCAGGGCAGTGGGCATGGACCCAAGCCACCAAACCAAGGTGTTCCAGAGCATCTGGACAGTGCTCTCAGACACATGGCCTGATTTTTGGGTGGTCCTGTCTGGAGCCAGGAGTTGGACTCATCAATCCTCATGGAATATTCTCAGGATATTCTGCAATTTTATAATTCCGTGATATGTGTTTATACTAAAGATGGATAGAGCTGCTCAGCACTAAAAGCAAGAAGGCATCAGTGGTGCCAGTTACTTTCATTAGTACACTTGTCCGGTGTGCCCCAGCCTCATTGGACATCTGACTTCACTCAGCTCTTCAACACAGTTGCACCATGGCAGGCTATCAGCCAGAAGACACGCTGAAAGCTCACCTGGTGGCAGGCATTGCACAACTGTATTTCACATCTACGTCACAGCGTAACCAGAGCAAGACACACGTTACAATCCATAATCCAGTCAGTTACTGCAGCTGTAGGCTATCAGCACGACCCGCTGTGTGGACAGGCAGTCCAGCCGTGAAGCACAGCGTGCACCGCTTCACTCAGCAGGGCTGAGAAAACCATGAGAGGGACTCAGAGGACTCAATCAATCTCCTTTCCTTTGGAGCCCTTTTGTAAACCGAAATGCAAGGCACTGGTTTTCAAGGCACTCCGCCATACGCCAACAACGAGCTCCACCTCCATCCACAACTGCCGCTAACGCACCAACCACAGCCGCTCGAGTACCGGAAGGGATTTTGCGCCCTTCCGTCGCGGGGTCACGTGACATCCCGTCGGTAACGCAAGATGGCGGCGCCCATGTTGCTGCCCGAGTCCCCTCTGGGGAAGCTGAGGTGAGGACGGGGTTGAGGCCCGCGCCGGGCCTCCCCATCTCATCTAGGAAGAAGGGGAAGAGCCTTGGGATGCCTATGGAGGGCCGAGGCTCAATTCCAGAAGAGGCTGCCCGGCTGCGCGGTAGGCCGGGTCGAGGCCGCCTCGCGGCCGGGCCTGGGAGTGGCGCAGCTACGTGCCGCCATGGCCGCCCCGCCGCCGCCGGTGCCGCGCGCTGGGGGTGAACCGGCGGCGCTGTCCATGAGGGGGACGGGGGAGGGGGTGCCGCCGGAATGGGGTGAGGCCGGAATGGGGAGTGTGCGGTGACAGATGATATCTAGGCCGCTGTCTGTATCCCGCCCGCCCGTTCGCCGGGTAAGGGAGGTACCAGGCGGGGGACTCGGGTCCGGCAAGTGCCTGAGCTGGATGTGTGTTAGGGCGGCCTCGTCTGGCAGTGCCTCTTAGCCTGAGTGGCTTCTCTTGTCGCACTCGGTGGCGTACTTGCAAACTTGGGTGCAGCTGTGCATTAGCAGCATTGAGAGTTGCTCTTTCCTGTATTTCTTAGGCATCAGCAGCTGCTGAGACAGCCTCAGAGCTGGGTGGAGGGGGTGTTTTTGTGTCAATCTTAGGCATCTGTTTAAGAGTGGGAGAATTGTCCCTGGGGGTGGGTATTACAGAAGATACTGGGCTTGTGTGAGTCAAAGGAAAAGGCTGAGCATGTAGTGAGGCATCTGTCAGGCACTCAGCTTCCTGGGTAACCATCACAGTGCTATGAGTGGCATGCAGTGTTGTGCAGGTACTGAAGTTGCAAATAACCATGAACAGAAGGGCGAGTTTTTGATTCTGATTTACATATCTAGATTAAAAAAAAAAAAAAACCAAACAAAAAAAAACACTCTGAAAAAAATTGCTCTGAAATGGCAGGCTTCTGGTCTGCTGTCACTATTTTCTGGTCTGCTGTCACTATTTGTCATGGCAGTGGGAAGAGTTGAAGATCATCCTTCCCACTGCGAACTGACTAGAAAGAATGGAGCTAGAAAGAAAAAAGGACAGAGAAGGCGTGGTATGAGAAGATTTCTAGCTATGTGAAGTGATATTGAGCATAATGAGAACAAGGTGCTGCTTCCTGGCAGCCACACAGAGCTGTCATGTAAACTGACATGCTAAGCATGAGTGTAGCTAATATCCTGTAGTGGAAAAGAGAGATTGAGAACTGTATGGCCAGGCTGGATGGAGCTCTGAGCAACCTGGTTTAGAGGGAGCTGTCCCTGCCTGTAGCAAGGGGGTTGGAACTACATGATTTTGAAGGTCCCTTTCAACTCCAATCATTCTATAATTCTGTGATCTCTAGTAACTGTTGTGTGTGCTTGTGGTATCTATGCATTAAAACTGCTGTTTGTAGAGAATATGTAGACAGAAGGGCAAAGATGTGGAATTTCATACCAAGTAAAGAGAACAAAAAACTAACATTTGCTGGAAGGCATGCCAGAGCTGCCAAGTAGGATATGCTTTTTTTTTTTTTTTTTTTTTTTTTTTTTTTCCTGCCAGATCTTATCTGGTGGCCAAGGTTCAGTACCTAGGGGAGCTTTCATGGGGCTGATGATGATGAGCACTGCAGAGCTCAACAAGGAGAAGATCCTCTGTGTTGGGTCCAAGTCCAAGCAGTGTCATTATTGCTGGCAACATGCAGCTCTAAAAGCACAGTTGCAGATTTTATTGCCGTGTCAGATATCCCTGTAGTGTTATGTTTCATATAAATATGTTTATTTTGCAATTGTGGGGTTTTATGCTGATGATGTAGTTGAATGCATATATGATACTAAAACTTCTTTGCTAGGCTGTGGTAGCATAAATAATTTCTCATCTTCAGCCATCAGAAATACAGAGCCATTCTGAAGAAAGAAAAGCGGAAAAAAAAGCGGCAGGCACTTGCCAAACTGAGAGACTCAGGTAAGTGCAAAGAATTTTGGATTTCCAGGTGATTTTTTTTTTAACAAAGATATAAATTTGCATGCATCTGGTTACTGCAGCGTCCACTTGTTAGGATGCTTTTTTTCTTTTCTCAGAAGCTACAGAAAAAGATGAATCAGTGTCTGAGGAGGAGGACGAGGAGCTCGAAGAAGAAGAAGATGAGGAAGAGGAAAAAAAACTTGAGGCAGAAAGGTAAAAAAGCTAGAAACCAGCACATGTGGAATACATGTTCATGCTTTGAAAAGTATTAATATATTCTGTGTATAAAATAGAATCTTCAATCTATATTCCATGTTTCACAGGAGTTCTCTAGAGTGTGAATGATTGCTATAGAATTTTTAATTTTAAGGAATGTTAGATAAACTGTAGATAATGCTAAGCTAACAAATTTAGTTATATGCACGATGACTGCATCTGTTACGGGTAATCATTAAAATTTGCCTGAGAGGTATATGGTTTCATTGGTAGACAAAAACTACATGAACAGTGGTTGCTGAGGGAAGAAAAGGCTCAAGAAGAGTTCAAGCTTAAGAAAGAAAAAGAAGAGGCTGCAAGAAAACGTCAAGAGGAAGAAGAGGTGATACATCAACTTAGTGTTATAGTTATATCTGGTAATAAGGAAGACTTATAATAACTTTAATATCTTCTGCTGTAGTGTGCCAAGTTTTGTTGATGTTGATATGTCTAAAAATGTAAGCTCCTTTCTTCATTTAATTCTAGAAGAGCAAAATTAAAAAGACACTAAAATACTCATGTAATGGGTTTTTATTAAGAGATGTGGTGTCTTATTACTGAATGATAATGGTCAGGGAGTTAAAATACAGCATGATTGTTTTGAATTTGATTCTAGTGATTATAAAGTATTTATTTGTTTCCTTGAGTAACTTTTTTTTTTTTTATCATAAAGAGAAAGATCAAAGAAGAATGGGAAGAGCAGCAAAGAAAAGAGAGAGAAGTGGCACAGCAGAAGCAACAGGAGAAGAGAGAAAGAGAGGTGATTCCTGGCAGTGGGAGGATAAGCATACTACATATCCTCTTGCATTATCTGATGCACCAGTCTATGCATGTTGAAAAAGGATTTTATTCTAACTATAAGTGCATGAATCTGTTAATTGTTTCTCTTTGTTTTAAGTTGCTAAAATGATACTTCACCGTTGAAGATCTAGTAACTCCATTTACCTAGAAGGATGACTGATTCTAATGCATTTCTATGTACTTTTTTTACACCAGTTAAACACAGAGGCACACAATGCATACCAGTTTCTGGTATTTGTGCTTTTTACATTTTACAGTAAAGGTAGTCCTTATTTAATGTCCCAGCTAAACATAGTGGTGAAGAAAATTCCCAGTGAGGATATAGAGTTATATTTCTGCTGTTCCTTAACAGAGTCCTTAATCTAAAGATACATTACAGCTCTTCTTTACCTGACTCATCCAACAGGACGTATCTTTTTTTTTTCAGAGTACCTTAAATGGGCAAAAAAGCTATGCTAAACATGCTAGTAATTTATAACATTTCTTTTAAGCATCTCTTTTTAAGTGTTAGAAATTGAATAATTTGGATGTAAGATGCCCTGAACACAAATTAAAAAATGAGGGCTGACCTATCACCAGTAAAGGGCAATTGCAGCTGTGACATATCAGCTTCTCCATGTTAGGAAAAGATTCAAGTTCAGCACTACTGCTGGAAGGTGTCTTGATGATGTGTTTCGTAACTCCAGCTGGGCAATAGACATGAGCAAATGGCATTGTCTCCTGCATTTAGTAGTTGATTGCTTCACTGGTTACATAATGTAGCCATGATGAAGGAAAAAGAACAGCAGTTGTATTTCCCATCTGTCTTCTTCTTGTGTTTCATGTCCTTTCCTTTCCTTGCAGAGTAAGGAGAGAAAATGATGGTCTCATCCTTTATTGAACGTTGAGATATAGTTCTCTTAGTACTGTGTCATGGTATCAGCAGGGTTTTGTGCCTTCCCTTTTTTTGTGGCTAAGTTTGCTTAGTCCTGTTGGTTTCCTGAACTAGCTGGAAACTTTTTTTCTTTTCTTTTTTTTTTTTTAATAATTGTTTTCTTTCTGGATTACTGTTTTACTGGTCTAGTGAAAGAAGGTTCTCAAAGAAGGTGCTGACAGTCACTCACTGTGGGTGAGTGTTCAGCAGGGAGTGGAGCCACACATTTTGGCAGTGCAAAGTTAGTGCATTGATTTGGCCTCTCTCTTCAGACAGGAGTTTATTCAGATTTTGACTTACTGACCGATAGAAAAGATGGCATTTTTTGCTCCTTAGGATGGGAAAATAGTTTTTGGGTTTGTTTTTTTCATGCTGAATTACATTTTTTCCTAACTTTCTGTTCCTCTTTTTTTATTTATTGCTTTATTCTGCCTAATGAGCCTGCTTTGGCAGGGGGACTGGACTAGGTGATCTCTAGAGGTCCCTTCCAGCCCCTACAATTCCGTGATTTTTGTGACGTTCCAAATTAGAACAACGCCAGTATATTTTTCTTGTATTGGTTATGTCTCAATGTCCTTATATTTGAACTTCCTAGAATAATTTGTAAGGACTAATTTCTAGTTTGTCTTGGAACGTGACTGTTGCTTTGCTTAGCCCAGTTAGAGGAAAAGGAAAGAATATTCTCATTGTTTTACTCTATTTAAAAGACTAGATACAGCAAAGCTTGACAGGTTTCTGAATTTGACACTTAACAGTTGCAGAGTTGAGTTTAACAAGGGCTTACTAAACAACATGCTTTTCTGTGCTGCCTGGAATACTCTAAGTCAAAAAGCTTAGTGCAAATAAATGATCATGAATTCAACTGTAACTAAATTTAGTCCTAGACGAAAAGATGAATTTGACTGTTCAGTAGTTCAGTTACAGTTTCGATAAAGAAAATGAAAATTTTGAAGCTGTCTAGTATTTGGATTAGAAAATCCTCTACATGAAAGTTTAGTCTGATGTGTCGTTTAACGGCTTTGTAACGTGTGAATTCCTACAAAGCAAAAATAAAACTTACGGTTTTCAAGCAAGCCCCATCAAACATTTCACTGTGCATAATCATGGGGTATTGTAAATTAGGTTCTTAACTGAAGAAACCAGATGTTTTGCGTGTCCATGGGATTTTCACTAGTCCTGTGTTTGCACCATTTATAGGCAGCTGTGCAGAAGATGCTGGATCAAGCTGAAAGCCAGGTATGCTCCATCTTTTTCAAAAAAGAACTGAAAAATAATTTCACTGCTATCTAGCCTTTGCCTCGTAGCGTGTTGTCCATCTGCTGTCAAGAACCTAATGGCTAATAAATTTATTATGTAGTGGTTTGCATAAGCTGTAAACAATTCTTTGCTGGATGGAATATAATTAAGTGTATTTCTGACTGGTTGATTGCAGTGCAGTTGTGCATGCTTATTCTTGTTCAGGGGATGTGAGTCAAGAATGAATCTGGAAATAGTGATGTGTGGTCTATTTTTAAGAAACAGCAACAACAGAAACTAGTAACAGTGTACTTGTGGATTACATTTCTAAACAAAGCTGTCAGTCCTTTTAAGCTGTGAGAAAAATTTGGTTTTTGAGCAGATGGTCGACTCTAAATAAACCATTCAGCAGCATAGGAAAGCACAGATCTGAAGAAAAAAAAACAGTCTGGGGAGAACCTGACTGCTGGGATTCCTGGAATAGTGTGCATCTCACGTTGGCATGTTGTAGTAAGGGAAATTAAGTCTTCATTTGAACCTTAGAGGGTATGAATTTGGTCTCTCCTATTTCCTTAGAAGATAACCTGACTTTTTATGCCTGTACATATAGGATATACTATTCACTACTTTTGAACAGTCATATTCTGCTTAAAATTCTGCATAAATCTGAAATTTAAGTTTTAACCTAGTGTTACCCATTGAGTGCGATTACCACTAACTGCTTTGGAGTAGAATTCAGTTCTGAATTGCATTTAAATGGTTCTTTAGGTTGGCAGTCTGACTCTTTATTTTGGAATATGAGTAGAAAAATGCTCTGAGCTATTATCTGCCCAGCACTTCAGATGTGTTAACAGCCATTTCTGCAAGGGAATAGACAGAAATGTATGTTAGAATCATTGCATGGTACAAGTCAGTTCAGAGTTCTGCTACTTCCATGCAGTTGAAGTGATGGTGCTGTTTTGTTGAGAATAAATTACGGCTGAGAGTCACGAGTAAAACTGGGGGCAGGGTCAAATCCTGCTTGTAAATGAACAGTTTTCAGTTGATCTAAAATGACAACTTTTGGCTAGTTGGCTTCACAGATCTTTTGGCTAAGAAAATGAAAATTCATTTCTTAAAATGTGCTTTATTGATAGCCAACTCATGCCTGTAAATTGATTATCCCAATCTGAATTTCGAAGATCTTAATTTCATTGCCTGAGATGAGCAGTATGGAGGCTTTTAGTTCCAGTACTGTGAATTTAATTGTTTTTAATTCTAGCCTATGACAGGTTACTTTTATATTAGCATTTCCTAACTGCATAAAAAGTGACAGTTATAAAATTACTGAGCTTTGAGCTGTTGCAAAGACAGACAAGTAAGTAGTCCTATATTTTTATCTGCCAGATGTAAAAAGGGCTGCTCAGTGTATATTGGCATGAAGTAGCAAACAGGCTTAGCTGAGTGGGAAGAGCCTCTCAAAAAACTCGTTATTCTTGTGACCAAGGAGCGAATTATTACTGCAATTCTTTGTGTTATAAAATCTTAAGAAACTTTGTTTAGCAGAAGAAAACATTTCATAATTTTGTTTCAATGCTTTTTTTCACAGCTGGAGAATGGTGTGACCTGGCATAACCCAGAGCCCCCAGAGAACATAGGAACAGAGAAGGATAGAGCAAATTGCCCATTCTATATCAAAACAGGTTCCTGCCGATTTGGAGACAGGTAATCAATTGAATATTACCAGCACATAAATTTTTTGAGAGGTGAAGGGCAGGCAGCTTCATTAGCTCATGTGCAAACTGAAAAAAATCTTGATCTTGCTTTATAAAGGATGCCTTTTCTGTGAGGCAGTCGTCTCCAGGGTGAACACGTTCCATGTCAAAGCAAGGGATTGCCTCAGCGGTTGAGGGGGAACCCCTGTCGGGGAGCAGCTGCTGGGGGCCGTTAATCTTCCTCTGGTGGCAGTGCTCTGATGTGGTGGGGGTGGGGCCGGGAGCAGTGTGGTCACCCCCTGTGGATACGAAAGAGGTGACCACCTTAAAAAGTACAACCAAGGACTCAAGTCGTGACTGGTGCCACTAAAAAAAGGCCAAGGAGAGGCATCTTTTCTGAAGAGGCACTAAGGCATCCATCTGCCACCTGGATAACCTCTCTAGAGGGATTTGCTGCTTGCTGGGAGCCACATCTGGGACATCAGGAAAAAAGATAACAGTCCTTCAAGCTGGGTTGCATGAGGCTGTGATCAGGAAATTAAAAAATATCAAAAAAGACTTTATGTTCCCTTGGGGAGATGTTGAAGGGATCAGGAGTGCAGGTGGTATTCTCCTCAGTCCTTCCAGCTGGAGACTGGGATCTGGGAGAAGGAGGAGAACAGGTCAGTTGAATGATTGGCTGCATGAGTGACATCGCTTCAAAGGCTGTGGGTTCCGTGACCTTGGATGCACCTATAACAGACCACAAATGTTGACATGGGACAGAACACAGCTGACAAGGAGGGGCAAGAATATACCTGATAACAATCTGGCTGGGCTCATCGCCAGGGCTTTAAGCTAGAGCTGCTATGGGAGTGGGGGAAGCAGCAGGGGAAAACCTCAAATTTGTCCCAGATGTTTGTGTGAGGAGTCCTCTAGAAAGTTAATGTGTTCGAAAGCCCAGCTGAAGTGCTTTGATACCAGTGCATTCAGCATGAGAAATAAGCAGCAGGAGTTGGAAAACAGGGTGCAATTTGAAAGCTATGATCTTATCGCTATCACAGAAATGTGGTGGAATGGCTCACATAACTGGAATAGTATGATTCAGGGCTGCAAGCTTTTTAAAAGGGATAGATAAGGCATGAGGGGTGGGGAAGATGCTTCGTATATTTAAAAAGTAGACAGACTGCAAGGAGCTCCCTCTGAGTAACAGAGGACAGGTTAAGAGCCTGTGGGTTAAGATTAGAGATGGGATTAATAAAGGACAGTTGGAGGTCAGGGTCTACTATACGCCACCTGATCTAGAGGAGCCTGCTGAGGAGGCCTTCTTGCTTCAGCTGAAAGAAGTGTCACACTCATAGACTCTCATCCTGATAGGGGATTTCAATCATCTGGATATCTGCTAGGAAAACAACACGGTGAGCTGTAAATAATCTGGGAGACTCCTGCAGTCCATCAGCGATAACTTTCCTGTTCACTTATTGGAAAGACCAACCAGCGGTGAAGTGTTGCTGGACCTTGATCACGCTAATGTGGAGATTGTTAGAGATATTAAGACTGGGGGCAGCCTGGGCTGCATTGACCATGCCCTTGTTGAGTTCATGATCTCAAGGAACATAGATCTGGCAAAGAGTGCAGTCAGGAGCCTGAATTTGAAGAGTATGAACTTCAGGCTATTTAAGGAATTTTAGGATGAGATCCCCCAGAAAAATTCCTAGGGACAAAGGAGAGCAGCAAAGCTGGCTACTTTTTAAGGATGCCTTTCTGAGCGTGCAAGAGCTCTCTATTCCCAAGTACAGGAAATGAGGCAGAGAAAGCGAGAAACAACCCTGGCTCGACAAGGATGTGGTGGACATACTGAGGGGAAAGAAGGGCAAGTACAGACAGTAGAAACAAGGATATGTCACCTGGGAAGAACACAGGGATGCTATCCAGACATGTAGAGATAGGATTAGGAAAGCCGAGGCACAGATGGAACTGAATGTGGCAAACAATATTTAAAGCAAGAAAGAATTTTGTAGGTGCATTAAAAACAGGCCAAAAAGAGTATTCCTCTGATGAATAAGAAAGGAGGATTGGCTACAGCAGATACGGAGAGAGATGAGGTAATCAGTGGGTTGTTAGTTTAGGTTTTCACTAGCAACAGAGATTCTCATATTTCTTGCATCCCCGAATCTCACTTCCATGAACCTCTTGTTGGGAACTAGGGGAGCAAACTGCCCTGCTTCCCCCACCCCTCCCTCTCCGTGCTCACCTCATGAGACTGAATGTGTACAAGTGTATGGAACTGGATGACATGCATCCCATAGTCCAAAGGGCGCTGGCTGAGCTGCTCTCCATCATATTCAAAAAGTCATGGCTGTCAGTCACAGTCACTGGTGACTGGAAAAAGGGAACCATCACTCCCATTTATAAGAAGAGGAGGAAGGAGGACCTAGGGAACTACAGAGCTTCACCTTTGTGCCTGGGAAGATCATGGAACAGATCCTCCTGGAAGACACTTTAAGGCACATGAGGGATGAACAAGTGATTCAAGACAGCCAGCGTGGCTTCACCAAGTTGTGCCTGACCAATCTGGTGGCCTTCTATGATTGATTAGTCTCATTGGTAGAGAAAGAGAAGGTAACTGATGTCATCTACTTGGACTTGTGCAAGACCATTGATGTGGTCTTCTACCATCCTTATATCTAAATTATAGATATGTGAATTCAAAAAGTGGACTGTTGGGTGGGTAAGGAATTGGTTGAAAGGTCGCAGAGTTGTGGTCAATGGCTCTATGTCCAGGTGGAGGTCAGTGATGAGTGGTGTCCCTTGGGCATCTGTCTTGGGACTGGTACTCTTTAACATCTTCATCAATAATGTAGATGATGGGATCAATAGCACCCTCAGCAAGATTGCTGATGATGCCAAGCTGGGCAGTACAGTTGGTATAGCAGGAGGAAGAGATGCCATCCAGAAGGACTTTGATACACTTGCAAGGTGGGCCCATGTGAACCTAATGAGGTTCAACAAAGTGAAGTGCGAGGTTTTGCACCTGGGTCAGGGTAATCCCAGGCATGTATACAGACTGGGAGAAGAACTTGAGAGTAGCCCTGCGGAGAAGGACATACGGTAGATGCAAAATTTAATATGAGCCAGTAGAGTGCACTTGCAGCCCAGAAGGCCAACGGTATCCTGGGCTGTATCAGAAGAGGGGTGGCCAGCAGGGAGAGGAAGGTGATTGTTCCCCTCTGCTCTGCCCTTTTGAGTCCCTTTCTGGAGTATTGTGTCCAGGTCTGGTACTCCCAGCACATAAAAGATGTGGAGCTTTTGGATAGGGTCCAGAGAAGGCCATGAAGATGACTGACTGAAGGAGCTGAACTTATTCAGTCTGGAGAATAGAAGGCCACGGGGAGATCTCATTATGGCCTTCTAGTATTTAAGGATAGATTATAAACAGGAAGGAAATGCACTTTTTACACAGGTAGATAGTGATAGGACATGGAAGAATGGTTTTAAACTGAAGGAGAGAAGATTTGCATTAGATCTCAGAGGGAAGTTTTATGAGAGGGTGGTGAGGTGGTAGAACATGTTGCCCAGAGAGGTTTTGGTTGCCTCATCCCTGGAGGTGTTCAAGGCCAGGGTGGTTGGGACCCTGGGCTAGCCTGATCTAGTACTTGATCTAGCAGTTGGGAACTCTGACTGTGGCAAGGGGGTTGGAACTTGATGATCTCTTCCAACCCAAGTCATTTTATAATTTTATGATAAATTACTTCTATTTATTTGGATGTGTTTCTGTTATTCATGATGGTACTAGGCAGAACCGTTGCCTGGCTGGAATTGATGTTACAGAACATTGCTGATGATACATTCTGGTTCTGTTGATTGAAGTGACTTCTAGCTTAGCTCTGGCAAATGCACAAATATATTTGGGCAGAATACATTTGATTTCTTCTTTTAGCCCAGGCCTGGCATGTCAGATGTTGTTTTTCATCTTGCTTAGTTTACATATGCTGCATCTTTGAAAAATAAAATAAAAATCCTCTTCCAGAATTCTGTTCTTTGTGTACTGAATCTGTGCTAATTTCATTCTTGGTTCCTGTATATTGCTGTGGGTGTTTTGTATTGGAAATGCAGTAAAAGGCAAGAACAGAGAAGGACGACAAAATGATCAGAAACGAAGAACAGCTTTGGTAGGAGGAATGGTTAACCTAGACACTTCACTTTCAAAGCGATGATGAAGAAGGCTATAGTAAATGGACATTTTGGTTGAACGTGAGCCAGCAGGGTTTCAATTGCTGGTTTCAAGACCTGGTCTCTTCCCCTAGTTTGTCTGTTGCTTTGCCACTGCTAGATATGAGAGTAGACTAATCTTGACAGTCGTTCTGATCATGTCATGAAAAGGAGAAGTGTGTTCTCCTAGTCTGTGAAGTGTTTGAAACAGTAATCATAAAGCACACTGAAGTAACATGGAGGCTACCATCCATGATCTCAGCGAATCTAAAGGTTTGTGGGGGAGAACTGCATTTCAGCATGTGAGGAAGGTAGCCTGAAGATGATGCACAGTAAGGGAGATCCGGTACTTATGTGGCTGCCAAGATGCAAATATAAGATAGGGCTTGTTTATAATAAGCTTTTTAAGTGGAAAAAGTCAGTCTCATGCAACTCTGAGTCTAGACATACTTTTGTTTCATAAATAAATGTTTCACTCCATAATCTCCTCTTCCCTGTTTGTTGAGAACATCACCAGAAAAAGTCCTTCCTCCTAAAGATCTGTTGTAATACTTGAAATATGTTGATCTTCTGCTAGTGAATTTTTTTTGTAGTAACTTTTTCAAAATGGCGGGTGTTTGAAGTTTCAAGTGCTGCTTCTGCCGAAAGCAAAAATACTTTTTCTTCCTTCTCTACAATTTTCCAGGTGTTCCCGCAAGCATAACTATCCAACATCCAGTAAGACGCTGCTTGTCCGAGGGATGTTCATTACTTTTGGCATGGAGCAGTGTCGAAGGGATGACTACGACACCGACGCAAGTCTCGAGTACAGTGACGAGGAGACCTACCAGCAGTTCCTAGAGTTCTATGAGGACGTGCTCCCTGAGTTTCAGAATGTGGGAAAGGTTGTTCAATTCAAGGTATGCATATGAGTGTAACAACTTGTAAATTCTGAACGTATACCATGTCAGTTGTGTTTTATTAGCCTTTAGAGAATTCAGTGCAGTATAGTCTAGGTAAATCCCATGTACTTCAGAGAACTGTACTGTGTCTACTTCAACTGTGCATCTCTCATGACACCTGTAAACTTCTCAGTGCTTCTGCAGAGCATTCTGGGTGAATCTTCTCTCCCATTCTCTTGAATTGTCACAAAAGCTTGTGCTTTTATACTGCCAGATATTTATACAAAAAAAGAGTCCGTGTAACTCTCAATCCCTTCTCTGCTTAGCCTGTGATAAGCCCAGAGGGCCCATGGATTAAGACTGTTACACGATGTAAAGATGTTTGGGCTGCTATTGCCGCTTACTGTCACTGTGCCACTTAGAACTGTGCCAAAGGTATGATGATAATGAAATACATTATCAAGTAGGAGTATACACCCAAGCAGTGTCATTGTAGATCTGATGTGATAAAACAAACTCAACAATGAACTGAAAAGGTAGTATGTACTTCAGCAGCAGGAATTAATTTGAACTGGCTATCTTGTAAAGATGCTATTTAAGTGGTGTTGAGGTTTGTCATCTACTTCTAGTTTCTGCATCTGGTTTCCTGCTATATATTTTTTTCCTTATAAAGATTATGATTTCTAGTGAGAAAAAATGGGGAACCTGCAAATATAGGCCTCCTGATGAATTACGCCTTGTTGTACTAAAATGTACAGCTTGGATGGTGGAATCTCCTTTTAACAGAACTTACGGAAGCATCCCTTTCTGCGTGCCATTGCCAAGTGATTTTCTGTAGTGACCAGGAGGCAAGAAGTGCCTTTTCTGTTTTTGTTTCCCTGTATTGACAACTGCCTCAGGACAGAGATTGTACTAGCATCACAAGCAAGAGGAAAGTTAAGTAAAATCAGTGAATTCTCAGTGACCTTTATAAGAAAGAAACCTTCACTTATTTGAGAATGAGAATCCTCCCCCACATCCTCATGCCTTGACTCGGGATATTAGCAAGCAGTGCTCCCTTCTAGAAGATGGGACGCGGGTTCTCAATGGAGAATGTGTTGAAACAGTCTTACCATCAAAACTCACATCCTTAAGGTAATATCTTGGTTGTGTTACATGCAGCTATTTGCTAAGTTGCATGTACTTTGGTCCCTGTGGCTAATAGTGAGTTAATAGCTTCTGCTTTAGGATTTCTTAGCTTTTGAAGCAATTCTGCAACTCTAATTTGATTTTTCAGAGGTGTTCTTGTTTTATTAGAGATGCTTAGGAATTAGGTGTCAACTGATAGGATCCTAACTGTGATTTTGTTGAGTGTCTGCTACCATTTAGACTCATGTTACGCACATCCCTCTTTCAACTGATTTCCATTTCCAACGTGGCCTAAGGTTTTATTCTTACTGTTCTTTCTGGGAAACTAGTCCAGAACCTGGCAGGTCTTGACAAGACACGCTTCTGCTCTTTTCCCACCCAAACATGCCTGTTGTGATGTCGTTCTTGTTCTTGCACTGACCTTGTTATTTATCTTGAATAGGATGACTGTTTATGCTGTAATATTTAATTATATAGCTGCTTGCTGTTATCTCTGAAGCCCTTGCCTAATCCAGCACACATGCACATTATTCTTTCAGGGTCAGTCAGGTACAGTGATGGAAGAAGCTACTTGTCTCACTTGGAGCAGATGCTGGAAGAGGCATGGAGGCAAAAGAGGCTGGCAAACTGAGTTCTTGCCTGATCGGGGCCACTTGTCCCAGAATCCTGAGGGGCCAGTAACAGGCTTTCGGGAGGTCAAATTGCATATTTTTGAATGCTAAATTATGATGAAAAATTGTGTTTCAGAAATGTGAAAGTGAGTGACTTCAACTTTTATAACTCATCTCACTCTCAGAGAGGTTGTGAAGGTAGACTGATCTAAAGATTCTTTTACCCCATGTTTCCTTACAGAGGTACTACTGGTTGTTTTCAGAGCAGTATTTGGCTGTTGCAGAGTAGTGCTGACTCAGACTTCAGTGCAAGAGAACAGAGTACAAGCTGCCTTGTAGACTGGAACAGAGGCCACAGTGTCAATCAGAGCAGAATGCTGGAAACATACAAAAATAAAGCAGAAGACCTTTTTGTTTTCTAAACCTTGTATTTGACTAAAACTGTGTTGAGAAGAAAATAATGTGCGAGTTCACGCTGATGTGCCGTGACAAATCAGAATGGCTGCCAATTCAATGTGTGTGAGTTGCTGTATGGCATGAGCCTTCCATTGCCCTAATGTAATGTTTCCAACTCCTTAGGTCAGCTGCAACTATGAGCCTCACCTACGAGGAAATGTGTACGTTCAGTATCAGACGTGAGTATTCAGTCTTACCAATTTGCACAGCTGCAAAGTCCAGTAATGAAAACGGCGTCATCCAAATGATTTATTCTCATACTGTAATGACATCCTAAAACTGGGCAATAACCTCCGAAACGATCCTACAGCGATAATGCTGCATGTTTGGTTACACTGGGTATTTTTTTTTCCTTTTTAAAGGGAAAAGGACTGTCAGGCAGCTCTTGCTCTATTCAGTGGCCGATGGTACGCAGGCCGGCAGCTTCATTGTGAATTTTGTCCTGTGACAAGATGGAAGACTGCTATTTGCGGTGAGTTGCATTAATACTCAGGAAATAGATTGTGTGTTACTGAAATAGTTTGTTTAGAAGTGAAAAAGAGGAAGTTAAGTGATTGCTTTGATTCTCTCAGTGCTTCAGTTCACGTTCTTTTCTATTTGAAAGACAAATGTGCTTATTTGCTTCTGTAGGTTTAGGAAGGAAAGGGAATACCTCTGCCATATGATATATGCATTCATATCATCCTAGTAGATTTGCCATGGACTGGAAAATTTGGATCCCAGCTTTCACAATAATAATGATTATAAGGTGGAAGTGTAGAAAATAGCAATTTATCTCTTTCAAAAGCAACAGTAGTGTCTCAACCATCAACAGTTCTTAGCAGTTACTATTGCACTTGACTTCTCTACACATATGTTCTTTGAAAGTTTAGGCTAATAAAAGTACTTACAAAATTGTTTTACGCTAAAGAATAGCCATCTTAAAAGTTAAAAATTAATTCCAAGAGGAGTACATATAAAAGTAATCTTGGGTAGTATAGGTGTTCATATACATGTTTTTCTGTTCAAAGAAGCAGAATTCCGTTCAGTAAGTTTCTTTCCAGTAAGTGTATAATGCAGTTTTTAATAGGACTGGTTCATAAAAAGCAACCCTAATCTGTTGCAGGCTTATTTGAAAGGCAGAAGTGTCCAAGAGGGAAGCACTGCAACTTTCTTCATGTATTCAAAAATCCAAACAATGAGTTCTGGGAGGCCAATAGAGACATACGTGTTTCTCCAGAACGGACTAATCAGTTGTCTAAAAACTCTGAAAGGAGAAACAGATCGAGCCATCGTGATGACTATTACAGCCGGTCAAGGAGAAGGGGCAGCCCAAGCCCAGATCATTCTTACCGGAGAAATGGGGAATCTGAAAGAAAAAAGAATCGCCGCAAAAACAAGAGAAGGCGCCGATCTGGCAGGTCGAGAAGTCGAGAAAGGAGGAGGTCACGCAGCAGAGGGAGAAAGAGGAGAGGACGCAGTCGCAGCAGGAGTTACAGTCGAACACGGAGTCGGAGCAGAAGTCGGAGCTCCTCTCGATCCAGGAGTAGGGGCAAAAGGAGGTCAAGCAGCAGAGGAAGAAACAGTGAAACTCCCAAAACGAAGTGAGAAATAATTTCAGAAATTGCTAATTGATCAAATGTAGAGCTGACAAAGAAACCTTTCCAATAGGGCACCAGATACATTTGAGTCACAAATAAAGTGTTCTTGCACATTAAAACGTTTCTTCCTAATAAAGGACCCTAGTTTACTGTGTGCTAAGCTTCAGAAAATTAAAAGTCCTATATAAGGTGTAAATGTCAAGTACTCTAGCTACTCTGTCCCTCTGAACTACTGCAACATTTGGATGCATACTGAGTACAAAATAGAAAGAAGTAAAGCTTTTTTGGTATATGCTTATGCCTGTGTTATGTGTGTGTTAAGTGTTTACTGTCCCTGTAAGGAGTTAGTACAGAACAGCTAGTGTGCTGTAAATTCACACAACAGCATACTGCAAGTTGAAGTCTGTGTAAAAGAGAGCCGTTTATGTTTACTGAATGTTTATCGGAATTTCCTTTCTAGACAAAGTAATATAATCATCTTATGCTTGGAGAAAAGGGATCTAAAAAGACTTCACAGTTTGATTGTACTATAGTTGCCCAGTAGGAGCTTTGTGGTCATAAGTGTTGGATTTTTCTCTCCTGTGACTGAGCTGCTGAGCTAATTGCCTGTAGGGATTGCAGTAGACTAAAACCAAGTAGGAATTACACAAAACAATAAACAATCAACTTATTCAGTACCCTAATCCCCAAGTAAGAGGGGAGACCATGCACTTGTAATCCTGGAGCGAAGACAGAAAATAGTTTGCATACCTCTTAGTTGCATGCCATGTGTAGTTGAAAATCTCCTGCCTAACCTATGGTGGAGTGGTAGGAAAGGTGTAAATCTGGTCACTAGACATGCAGATGTAGTTGTAAAGGCTCAAGATGACTGCAGAGATGTTGCAGAGTGGCTAAAGAAACTGAAAAGGTTTATACCTGAAATAATACTTCAGGGTTTGTTGTTTTTTTTGTGTTTTTTTTTGTTGTTGTTGTTGTTGTTGTTTTTTGTTGTTGTTTTTTTCTGAGATGACGATTTGATTTGAAGCCCTTTTTAGGCTTGTATTACAAGCAGTTTAAGGCACCCTACTGCCTAGCTCCCCTACAGCCACGGCAGAGAGTAGGGTACATAAAAATGAAGTTATCGGGATGAGGCTTTCTTGAAATGACAGCTGTGTTAGCAAAGTACTTGCAATTAACAAAGTCCTTATAAATACTTCTCTCTTAAATGAAAGATCTGTGCTGTTAAATGGACTATACTTCACCTGGCTTAACTTTAGGTATTTGACTTAGGCTCTTATGGCATTGTGTGTACGTGGAGAGAGCAGTTTGTGGTACGTAAGATGCAGGTGCCCTGATCTGTGTGCAGAGATATCTCCCTCTCTTCAGCCTCTCCAGAGAGTTTGGGACTCCTGCCTTCAGGGGGCAGCTCTAAATCGATAGAATCCTAAAGCAGACACGAAATGCTCCCAAAGAGATATTTGTTATCATTCAACAATACAGCGTAAAGTCCCATCAAAAATGTGGACATCCAAACTCACTATAGCATTCCTCACAGCATTTTTTTTTCCCAGGATAGTTAAGAATGGATGAACATTGCTTCTGGTTATAATA